GTTGGAGGACTTAGCTTACACTATAAGTAAAGGAGATCCATTTGCGTCTTATGCCACCCGGTTAATAACCTTTTACTTTGTGAGATGGGTGATAATCAATTGGATATACTTATTAAAAGGTTCAAATATATGGTATTAAGTTGATACGGAGTACATTTTAAAGATTTAAATATAATTGTCATAAGATACAACATTTAAGATGTTTTTCATTAATACCCAAAATCGTCCTCGACTATAGTGATTTTTCTCAATTTCGTCCTAAACGACTTTGGTGACCTAATATCGTCCCAGACTTTTGTGTTTCGCTCAATATAGTCCTCCATTTGTTATTTCGTCAAATTGGTGTTAAATAAAGGGACAATTCAGTAATGCCAATATTGATCTCTCTTTACTTTCAACTTGTGAAGTGTGAAATTCCTTTTTCTTGTACGAATTACACCCAGAATTACTCCCGGACCTGCAAATCAAATTTTATATTCACAGTTTTAGGAGTAATTCATAAAAAAAAAAAAAAAAAGATTTCGCAGTTCACATGTCTATGAGTAAAGAGATGTCAATATTAAAATTACTGAATTGTCTATTTATTTAACACCAAATGGACAGAATAACAAATGAGGGACTAAATTGAGCAAAAACACAAAAGTCTGGGACTAAATTGAGCGAAACACAAAAGTCTTGGGCGATATTAGGTCACCAAAGTCGTTTAGGACGAAATTGAGAAAAATCACTATAGTCGAGGACGATTTTGGGTATTAACTCTCAATAGACCTATTTTTTTTTCCCAAAATGACGAATACAAAAGTTTAATTGGATATACTTTGTTTTTTGTTTAATCTTGTATTTTTAAATTTAAATAAGAATCCATTTTCATAATGACCAATTATAATGTGACACATAAGACAACAAAAAACCTTACTTGATTTTGTAGAACTATATATATATACCGTATGAAAAATACTACATATACTCCTATTTCATACTCTCTACATTTACTCTCACACTTAAAATATTGATGTAGACACTTTTACAGGGACTCACATGAGAAAAATAATCAATCAAAACCCGTTACATTAGGAAATAAATTTAAGGGAGTAAGATTTTGAGTACATGTAATATAACTCATACAGTATACGTGAAAATATACATTTTCCAATGGTTGAACCCCAACCCTTAGGGTCCCCCACACCCCGGCCCGACAAAGCATTTTATTACATCTCATTTTTTTTTGGTCCTAATTCAGTATGACCAAAATACCCCTCAAATTTTTTGGTTTGTTTGTTGTTTTCTTTTTTCTTCTTTTTTAAAGTGAAAACCCGACCCAAACTCCAGATGCTACCTTTTACAGAAAGTCCAAAAAACCCCTGCATAACTGACAGCCATGGGTTCAGTCTTCTCCAATCTCCACATCCCTCACCGCCCACTGCACCGTTTTCGTACGTATCTATTATTTAACACAATTAAATATTCACATTATTATTTTTTAATACTATTGACTCTATTACAAGGTAATATTAGTTCTATAACATTTTCTAATTAATGCAGTCTAAATAATTAATACCCCACCACAGTGATTCGATCCTGTGACCTTCCCTCCAAGAGTGCCACAGAGGTGTCATCTGAGCACAAGGTGCTTGACAAATATTCACATTATTAATTTTAAAAACATAAAATAATTTTACTAGAAAATTTGTATTAAAAAATTTTACATATCATAAATATACTATGACTCTGTTTGACGGAACTTATTTAAGAGTTTATACCTTATTTTAACCTACTAATAAGCCATAATTTATGAACCGTACTGTATACTTTAGATAGTGGTACTCTCCTTTTATGTATATGCATGTACTTCTAACGAAATACATGATACAACTTTGTAAAATATACAATCTCAATATGGTTAAGCCTGTGCATAATAAAATTTCCCATCTTTTTTTATAAAAACCTATTATGCATTACATTATATTGGGAAAAGGGTCAAATAGATCATTGAACTGTAGACAAAAGTACAATTAAGCCATTCAACTTAAAAAGAAAGTGCAACTAAGACCTTCAAATTGTTATTTTGAGTCAAATAAGCCCAATAACATATTATTCACCTACAATAACCAGTCAAAAAGATTCCGATGACATTTCCAGCGAAAAAATCTGGCAACAACAAAATTAAAAAAAAAAAAAAAAGATGACTTACCATAGAAGACAACTGTTTGATCGTCTTCTGCGGTGGAGAAGGCAGCCAGATCTGGTCGCCTTCTCCATTGGAGAGGACAACCTCGAGGTTGCCTTCTCCAGTGTCCGGGAGAAGACGACCGGAAATTACCGTTCCGGTGGATTTTTTTTTTTTTTTTTTTTTTTTTTGCGACAGTCAACAGTGATTTTCGACGGTCAACATCAATAATTTACCCGTAACCTGTTGGTTATCGATTATTAGACTTATTTGAGTCAAAATAACAAGTTGAAGAGCCTAATTGTACTTTTACTTATAGTTCAATGGTCTGTTTAACCTTTTTCCCCATTGTATTTAATAAAAGTACATTTTCCAATCTATAAATGTGCAATACTAAGTTTTATAACTCCACAAACGACAAGGATGATATAATTGGGTGTTTATATTATTATTATAAGTATCATTATTATTATTACTACGATTTTGGAAAATGAGGAAAGGTGAAGCCCCCACAAATAAAATAAAAATATTTGATCTCACATGACACTAAGCATCCCGGCGTTATATCTCAGGATACACATAACAATATCTCTAAGATGGCAAGAAGACAACATCGAAAGGTCAAACTCACTACCACAGTTCCTAGTAAGTCAATTAATAACTTGATTCCATTCTCATAGAACATGGCACCGCGCATTCTAGTTCTTCTTCATCCACATCCCACATTCGTTGATTAGGTTCATTAAAGGACCGCTACATTCGGAAGTATTAGGAAATCATTATAAGAGGATATTAATAATATTGATGTATCTTTAAAGAAAATAGTGTGAATGTATTTAAGAGTTTACGTTTGAGATTTTGTTGATCTTTTAAAGTTTTATTTTTTCTAATATTTTAAAAATTAAAATATAAATATATTGAGAGTCACATAAGCAAAGTCCTTTATTCCTCACTCTCTCTCCTCCTCATGTTCCTTCCCTTTTTCCGTTTTTATTTTCCCTTCTAAATAAATGAATAATAAATTACTTCTAAATATAAGTTTCTCATAAAGAAAAAAAAAAAACAAAAAAACAAAAAAAAAACACACACACACATATAAACATACATTCACTTCGGGATCATGTTAAATTTATTATGATTACATCTATTTTGTACAAAACTAGGCAATTGATACAAATGTATAAAATAGTTTTTTTTTTTTTTTTTTGTAAATTTATTTTGGTATTATTATAGTTCTTTTTAAAAACTCTCTTTGAAATTGATAAAATAATAAAAATAAAAATAAAATATTCAAAATACAATTCGATATCACCATCCTGAAAATTATAACTTATTTTCAAGTAACAAACAAAATTCTCAGAGTAAATGATGAGAGTTCGATTATTGTAAATAAAAAATAAGATTATTTTTTATTACTATCTCGATATTTGTATGAGTGACGAAGAAAATCTATAACCATTATCAATGAGGTATTGTTGTTGGAGATAATGAACCACAATCGATTTAATATCCGTAAAATAATATTTATATATATACACACGAAATATATATAAAATATTATTGGATATATATCCGAAATATATATATACACACAAATATATATAAAACGGACTCAACGATTATATATACATGTATATCTACGAAAAAGATATACCAATATATATCAACCAAAAAGAAAATATAATCCTTAGATTATAATTCCAAAACAACAAGAAAGAACAGATTTTTGCTTAGAGCATAATCCAAAACAAGAAAGAAGAAGAAAGAAAGTACGAGTTAGGCAAAGTGCCTGTCTTTCCTTAAAACCTTATTTGTCACCTCCCAAAAGTGCTAGGAGCATTGTGGCCTAGGTTTCCCAGGATAAAACGTACAAAGGTTCGACGTTTGAGCACCCAAACGAACGAACCTGACGAACTAGAGCATGAGACGAACACAGCTACAAGAAGGGAGTAGGAGCAGAGATTTTGGAGCTGGGAAAACAGGATTTCAGTGTTGTGTGTGTTGTTTTCAGTCTGTTTTGAAACACTGCTGCTACACCCCTTCTTATATAGGAGGTGAGGAATCAATAGCATTTAGTTTAGCATTTAATCCACGATTTGTAACACCTGAAACAGCCACCATTATTGAGATTTAACTCAAAAATTCAAAAGGTGGAATTAATTCTGTAACTGTCCAGAACCAACGAATGGTCCGTGCTGTTTCTAGTTGGAATTTGCAAATTTGCCCGCGCGCGCGCGAGAGAGAGAGCCTCTATGCTATACAATTCTACAAGCTCCAAAAGAGCTCTTGTATAAAAGGGAGGTGAAATCCTCTTTCCAAATCAATGTGGGACAAAGCTCACTTTTCCCTTACATTTTTCCAACTCAATGAGTCTACTTTGAGAATCAATATCTCATTCACCCATTATCCGTTTTGAGCGTACAATATATCAATCTCTTCGTCTCACTACGAAGAACCCGAATCCACTTTGACCCGATCCAAATCGGAAGTGGACCCCACTGATAATTGTACCACAAAATAGCCACTTAACATGTCATTTTATGCCATTTTAATGCTATTTTTCCAACAATTGTAACCTTAATTGGCACAATAAGGTAAAATTAATTTAGATTATCTATATCTGATCGACGCAAATTATCTTGATATTACAGAATTTTAGATAAAATTATTTATAAGAAAGAAATTCTCTATATTAAAAAAAAAAAAAAAAAAAAAAAAGCTAAGGAAAACCAAGCAATTGCAACACTTTGATTTCACGCACAGTGAAACATATATAAATACTAAAATAAAATATTAAAAAAAAAGGAGAAGAAAATGTTTCGCTCGCCTCTGCTCTGCTGCCTCTGTGAGTCTATAATCTCTTCTTCTAATTTCTCTTCTCTCTGCAGCTTTCGCTATTGATAAAACTCCCTCCGTTGCTGAAGGTCTGCGCTTTTCATCGATCCGCCCTTCCGATTACCTCTGTTTACACTCTTCTCAGATTCGCCTTCTTGCTTTAGGGTTTCTCTTTTTTTCGGTCTGCCTATTTCACTAATTTCAATTTTTGATCCCTTCTCGGGGAATTTGGGGTTTTGAATTTACACTTTGTTTCCTGAGTTTAATTCCATGTGTGGGTTTGAATCTTTACTTGTTTTTTCAGCATTTAACTGATTATTTTTTTTAATCTAATTATTTTGATTCAATGTGGAGCTTGATTCTCTGTGTTGATGTTGCGAATTTGTTTTTGATTTTTTGTTTTTCGTTTTAGGAAGCATGTGATTAGGGTTTATTGATAATCAGAGGAGTATGGTGATGGTTTTGCGGTGTTGATGTTATGTCTGTGAATTAGGTAGACTGATAATGTTTAATGGAGTTTAGATGTCAGTATTCAGTAAGATATACTGAGTCTGAGATACAGAATGTTGGGATATCTTCTCTGGGGAGTTTAGAGTTTTGTGTGGGTTTGCTTTTGGGTGGATAAATTACTTGGCTTTGTTTTCTGTGTCTGTAAATGTCCTGTTGGGGCTGATCACTTTTGTGTTGAGACAGGTGAAGTTGGAGTTGTGTTGTGGTAGTTTTGGTGTGGGAAATGGCTGCAGTTATGAATGAAACAGCAGGAGTGGGAAGGTCTTTGGAAGGAGTATCTAGTGCTCAGCAGCTTTATCAGTCTGGTGAAGCACTTGCAGAATGGAGGTCTTCTGAGCAGGTGGAGAATGGAATTCCCTCAACATCACCACCTTATTGGGACAGTGATGATGATGAAGACAACGGTGGTATTGTTAATTTTTTTTATTTTTTATTTTATATTCATGCCGTTATTAATTGTGTTTTCCATTTTTTCCCTATATATTGACAGATACGTTGTGGGCAGTGGTTGTTTTTTATTTGTATGATTTATTTTTATTTTTCAGAGCTTTTTTTTGGCTTGTTCTTTGTTGTTTAATTTTTGAAAGAAGATTAGTGATTTTCTCTGAAAAGATTCTCTACTTTATGCCAAGATATGAATATATGATAACCTGCAGGGTATTATACTTGACTGTTGGATAGTTGGGCCACACTTGGATGGAACTCACAATAAATTGCAGTTGCCCGACTCGTCTACTTGAGCCAATATTTTTATTGCAAATATGTCTATAGGGAACTGCCATGTACTCAAATTTGAACTATTACATTATTGTCTGCACTGCCTCAGTTTGTGCTTAGGCCATCAGCCATCTCAATTGGTTTTGAACTTTTGATCACTTTCAATTTTTTTTTTTTTTTTTTTTTTTTTAGCATTTGTATTTTGTCTCAGCTGATTCATTGCATCAGAGATTTTAGTTTGATGTTTGTCTCATATGATCAAGATTCTTAATATAGAACAAAATGATTACTTCTTAAATACTATTTGAATCAAGTAATAAATTGTTACGGTTGAGAGTATGGATGAAAACAGGCATTGACAGCTCTTAGATTGTATCTGTAAATTATTTGCTATCGTCTAGGTAGCACAGAAATGGGAAACGGAGATATGGGACACAGGGAAATGTCAGACGTGAAACATTTGGGAATTTGAAATTCTCTATTCCTCTAATTGAATGCTTTTGTTATTAATAATTCTTTTCCCTATTGAAAATACATCCTCCAAGATTTGGGCTTGAGGTGAAAATAACCTTTTATCTCATGTTACTTTTATGGAACATAAATTTCTTTGTAGTTTCCTACTTATTATACAAGTAAATACCTATTTAGGTCCCTTGAGTTAAAGCAATAATTCCATATTTGGTCCCTTGTGACACATTTGGTCCTCAACTTAACAAAATTGTTTTATATTCAGTCCAAAATCATTTCACGCTTTGTCCAAATTCAAAAGGAATGTAGAACAATTTTGCAAGTTGACCACGTGTTATGTGGGACTAAAAGTGGAATTGCCACTGTACTAAAGGGACCAAAATTGTAATTAACTCTACTTATACTATTATGATTATCTGAACATTCTTGTAGCAAAGTGAAATTAAATTTATTCTAGATGAGTTACTTTCTGATCAAAATCTCATGCTTTTTGCGAGTGTGCTTTGAAGTGCCATCAAGAACATATAACCATCTTTGAGACCATAAGAATTCTTTCAGTACTTACTGCAATTTATGATCTAATCCCATTGTTAATGGAGAATGGTTTTCTAATGATTAACTTATTTTTCTTCATCTTCAGCAGTATGTAACTGTTTAAGTGATAATTAATGATGATTTAAATGTAGGTGTAGTAGATTGATTATTCTTCTTTTCTGTTCTTTATGTGTTCGTTTTTTATTTTATTTAAAGTCATCATCATCTTATTTTCTGGCTCGTAGGACCCAAGCCTTCTGAACTATATGGAAAATATACATGGAAGATTGATAAGTTTTCACAAATTAACAAGAGAGAACTTCGGAGTAATGCATTTGAGGTTGGCAGCTATAAATGGTAATATGTCTGTGAGCAAAAAAATTTCATCAAATGTGCTCCTTCGATTGTTGTGCAACAGCAATGCTTGTTTATGGAGCCATCCTTCCGCTGCTTCTGTAATATTACAGCTTCTATACTACGATATAGAAAAGCATGCACCCATTTTGGCTATATTTTTATATGATATCCCCATTTAAGTTGTAAGTATTGTAGCTGCATAATTGATTGTCTTGATTGATTCCGAGTCTGGAGTTTCTGTCAAGGAGCAGTTTACTGATATCAGCTCAATCTGAACTCTGAATGACTGTCTGTTGTGTTTCATGTATTATGTTCTTCTTTGCGAAGTTAAAACAATATTTTCTTATTCTTTTCATTAACTGTTTGGTGGCAGGTATATTTTAATTTACCCCCAGGGGTGTGATGTCTGCAATCATCTCTCTCTGTTTCTTTGTGTGGCTAATCATGACAAGCTTCTTCCAGGTTGACAATATTAGTAATTCACATTGATCTCTTTTGATACATAAATTCTATTATTATCTCGTTTTGATATTCTCTCTCATTTTGTTAAAACAGGATGGAGTCATTTTGCACAATTCACGATAGCAGTGGTGAATAAAGATCCTAAGAAGTCCAAATATTCAGGTTATTTAATTTAATGATTTCTTGTAACCTCTCTTGACTCTGTTTACTATCAGCATTAAAAATGCTTTTACAAATTTCTGCAGATACCTTACATCGCTTCTGGAAGAAAGAACACGATTGGGGCTGGAAAAAATTTATGGAACTGTCAAAAGTTCTGGATGGATTTATTGATGCTGACACATTGATAATTAAAGCTCAAGTCCAAGTTATAAGGTGTTTTACTGGTCATCTTTCTTACCATTCAATTGCCCTCCCCCCCACTCACCCAAATTTAAGGTCATATTTCATAACCAAATGAACATGAATAGGGTTTGTGCTCAGTGTATTATTATCTGGTGATGATAATTAGTTGCCAATTTGGTAACTTCATTATGTAGTTTTGCTTCTTGTTAATATTACTCTGCCTGTTAGTATTTGATGATTTGACTAGATAAAGAATACAAAATGGAGTCACTTGGGAATTGTTAGCACCGAAAAAACATCCCAAAAGAAATTGATATTTTCTTTGGTTGTGTGTTTTCTGTTTACTATTGTTTAAGGTTTGTAGTTAGCCCTTGAGGTCTGCATGTAGAAATCTGTCATGTTTGTTTGGATCTCATGGAGTGAAATGAATTATGATTGATTATAATGATCTATGGTTAACTTCACTTGCACCTAGTCCTCTACACTTTCTCTAACCTTTATGTTGATGCTCACCAATAGTATTTTGGACTGTTGTTTGTAGGGAGAGAGCTGATCGTCCCTTTCGTTGTCTTGACCGTCACTACCGGCGAGAACTTGTTAGGGTCTATTTAACTAATGTGGAGCAAATCTGCCGCCGTTTTGTAGAAGAACGACGAAGCAAACTTGGAAAATTGATAGAGGATAAAGCTAGATGGTCAGGGTAAGAGTTCTTTTAATTATTTGATCAGTTATTTTTATATTATCATGCTGACATGAAGGTTTCCCTGAAAGTCAACTTGTGGAGATTCAATTTCCATATACTGTCTAGTCTAGTATCTATGGTCACTGAATTTGGATATATGGTTACTGTATTAGCCTTGCTTGTCCTTGTGCAAAATGGAAAAATTCTCAGCAATTCATCAGATTTTACTACCTCATATATGCAGCAATTTTTGAAACTTGTATTTAGCCTTCTTCCTAATATGTGGAATATATCTTATATTTCAGTTTCTGTGCTTTCTGGCTGGGGATGGACCAAAGTTCCAGACGTCGCATGTCAAAGGAGAAAATGGATGCAATATTGAAAGTTGTTGTAAAGCACTTCTTTGTAGAAAAAGAAGTCACATCTACTTTGGTAATGGACTCCTTGTACAGTGGGCTCAGGGCCCTAGAGGGTCAGTATAAGGGCAAGAAAGGTAAGGGCAAACATATAGATTCAGAGGAACAACCAGCGCCTATAGTACGTATGGAAAAAGACATGTTTATCTTGGTGGATGATGTGCTTTTATTACTTGAGAGGGCTTCCCTGGAGCCACTGCCTCCTAAGGATGAGAAAGGTCCTCAGAACCGTACCAAGGTAATGTCATCTATTTGTTATAGATTTGTGCAAAATTATGCCTTTTAATTGTTTGCTGAAATATAGTGAAGTCATAAACTGTTTGGACATTCTTGAATTTCCTACTTTTACCTAATGCTTTCCTTGTAAAGTAATCAGTCTTATATATGTGTTCTGGTATTTTGAATGATGTTAATAAGAAGAGTCAGCATGAAGAAGATTTTACTTGGTATTCTTATGTGTGCTAAAATATTTTATATAGCAAAACGCTGTAGGTGTACAAGAATATCTCTAGCATTCTGCACAATTAGTTGATGCCAGATAGTAAGTGCACATCATTAAATTTCAGTGTCTTTTGAAAAAAAAGGATTTTTCATTTATTTTTATTTTTAGTTTAATTAAATGGTTATTGTATTCAACTTCTGGCTATGCTTATCTTATTGTTTATTATGCTGAATATGTCAGACTTTTTAGATTGAACTGTATATTGCATATATCTAGATACTAGATTGTCTGTAACTCTGTATAGTTATTGCTTCAGGCATCATGAAACATAGATAGGGCGTGGATGGATGTAGGTATATTATATAGGTCAATGAGCAAGTCTTGCTCTGCTCTCTCAACTATTGCCCTGTTGTGTTTCAGAATTAAAATATTTCTGGTTTCTCATTCTAAATAACTATTGTTTAAGGATGGAGCTTCTGGAGAGGATTTCAACAAAGACTCCATCGAGCGTGATGAAAGACGCCTTACTGAACTGGGTCGTAGGACCATTGAAATATTTGTCCTGGCACATATTTTCAGGTAAAATTTACTTTGCACTTTCTGATCTTTGTCGTTCACCTTAGTTGCACTGACAACATCTCTATCTCTGCATTGAAACCATTAGAATCTGTTGTGTTGGCTAATCCTAATTCTCACTCTTAAAGCCATCTGCTGGTTTTTGGGCTAACTGTTATTGTTGACATCTAATTTTTCTCATTGATATTCTTATAGTAGATGTTTCTAAAAGCCATTGAGAATCATTAGAAATGAACTATATTTTCTGCTGTGTTTTATTTTTCAAATTTAGTTTTGTGTACAACCTCCTTGTGCATCACCTCACATGTTGAGGAACTGGCAGCTTCTGTTGTGTATGATGCTTCAGTAATAGCATAGTCTTATCCTGGTTCTGAGAATGTTTTCTGTTTTATGGATGTGACTAGCTTTTGGGTATTGTTAGTGAAAATATCAGAATTGCTTTTTTGGAAGTTTGTTCATAACTTATCGATGCAACAAGGTAGTGTTTTTCTCTTCTTCAAACATCATTTTTTTTAACAAAGAGATTTTATTAATATCCAAAATGTTCTGTACATGGATCCAAAAGTGATCCCAAACAAGAGGCAAAGCCTTAATAGCAACACAAGGGACCAAGCCTTAAATCTACACAGACTTATCAACTATAATACCAGCGCAAAGCCAGGCTTAACCTCTGTGCAATCCTATCTAATCTACCTATTAAGTATAAGAACTGACCAACCCATTTACTGTATGAAACATCACACACAAGCACAATAATCCATTTGTCTTTGATATCTTTTGAGGTGCCTTTTCACACTGCCTTACTGAGGAAACTGAAAGCTTCTTTCACCTGTGATTCTTAATTTCTTGCACCAAATGTGAAGTCTGTTATTTTGGGTATTGTTAGGGAGAATGTTGGAGCTGATTTTGTTGTACTTAATTAATAACATATCCATGCAACAAGTAAGTGATGCTATCTTGTCTCCACAAAATCCAATCCATGCATGTGTATAGTCCTTTTGTCTTTAACATTCCTTCAATTATGATATCTATCTGCCTTGGCCTTATCTTTTACCAATTTCTCTAAGCAAATAAGATCTTCTACATATTTTCCTTGTTTCTCAGGTGTTGTTTCTTGGTGCCTTGTTTGTTGGATCATACTATTCATTCCTTTTGATGCACATTATTATCAGGATCATTTAGATATTATTATTTTATGATTTTTAATCCTTCAACGCTTCATGGGTACCTTATTTTTATTTTTATTTTTTGCAGTAAAATAGAGATTTCTTATCAAGAAGCTGTTGCTTTAAAAAGGCAAGAGGAACTCATTCGTGAGGAGGAGGCGGCGGCATGGATGGCTGAGACTGAGCTCAAAACAAAACGTGGAGCATCTGAAAAGGAGAAAAAATCAAAGAAAAAGCAGGTATTCTATTTGGATGCATTGTTTTCTTTTGTGGGGAATTAAAGAGTGCACTTTCTTGAGTTCTTCCACAACTGGTTCTCAGTTCTTATCAAAAGCTAGTTTATTACTCTGTAAAATGTTTTGGTGATTGTGATGTATGGATCTGAATATAATAAATTCTCCTGATGTGTAATACAAATTCTAAGGGTGTCAGGACCATTGAGAAAGGAGGTTGTTTCACATGAGACAACATGAGATATATTACAAATAAAACTTCTTCCTGCTTACTTTATACTTCAGGGCAAACAGAAACGCAACAATCGCAAAGTAAAGGATAAACTGAGGGATGAAAAGCCTGGTGTCTTGTGGCAAGACAAGACTGAAGAGGAGCCATTAAATGGTGAGGGGAAGGACTACTTCACTGAGGAGCCAGAAAGTATACCTGAAAAACCTGATATATTAGAAGAAGTTTCAGACATCTCTGATTCAGTCGACTGTGTTCCTGAAGTACTTAATCGTGAATCAGAAGACAGAGATGTGAGCCCTGTCAATTGGGATACTGACACGTTAGAAAATCCTCCCGTAGAAAGCAGCTGCAGTGAATTAAGTGGCTTTGCATCTGCGCAGAATGGAGTGGCTGGGAGGAGAAGCCTTTCTGCAATGGATGATAGTTCATCAACCTGCTCAACAGACTCAACTCCCTCAGTTATGAATGGGCATTATGGAGGAAATGCTTCAGATCATAAAAACCAAATATCACCCGGCAGGTCTGGTATTTGTTTTTTCAATTAAATGCTTATGTAATATGTGTATAGTTTGGATCCTGATATTTTTATATATATTTGTATTACAACTTACTAGAGAGAAGAACCATCGAGCCAAATCAGCTTGTAATACAGCTAGGGCGAATGAAATGCAAAGTCGGCAATTAGACAGTGTTTCTAATGTAGCCATACTGAGTGATACAAGTGGGAGTTGCAAGGCAATACCTGAATCTCAGGCTACTTTTCTTTCCTCACCTGAGCAGCATGTTGTGAAGAAGGTGGGTTGTCTTCTCCTTTTCTTCTATGAGGAAACAAATAGCTGCTTAAGAGGCATTTTTGGTATTATGATAAAAATGACTATTTCTGAGAAGCCAGAAAAAGCTAATACTATGCCTCCCTTGGAATGGCTATCCCTGTTGCAAAAGGAATAGCTCATTCCATGGACTATAAGGATATACCAAAAATGCTACTGCCTACTGGCACTCCTAGGATGATTGTGATTTAAGTACTGATGGGCATAAATAATGGTTCTCATGTGAAGTCTAAACTATTATCTCTGAAGTTGTTCTGAAGGCATCTCATTCCCTCTAAATCCATCTCTAGCTACTGAATATACAATGCATATGCATGTGTAAATGTGTGTGTGTGTGTGTGATATGCACAAGTAAATATATGTTTTAGAAAGAACCTACAGAGTCCTTGGGCATAACAGGAAATAACCGTTTAACTTATTTCCTTGTATGTGTGTGTACATAGCAGGAATCACTGTTACTGTTCCTCAGTGTTGCAAAAATCCTGCTACACCAATTAATCGGTGCCTAGACGCTAGGCGCTAGCCGGCTGCCTAGCATATTACCATAATCGGTGGTCTAGGCGGCTGTCCGACTAGGCCGCCTAAGCCACCTAGGCACTGACCGCTTAGGCCTCCTAGGTGCTGCCTAGGCACCGACTATGTCGTCTACTCGGCCGATTAGCTATTGTTCCATTCTTTTTTAAATGGGTTATTTCACTCAAAATGACATCGTTTTGAGCAAAATAACCCTAAATTGTTCAAACTCTAGATGTTTTTTATGTTAATGTTTAATATTTTAATATTAACTATTAAAGTATTAAATAGTTTATAATTATCAAGTCTTAAAAAATTAAACAAATTTTTTTAAAATAAAAAATAAAATAGAAAATACACGGGCGCCTGGTTGCCCTGACTGCGCTAGGCCAGAGGAGTGCCTAGCGATTTTTTCAACCATGCTGTTCCTGGACATTGGCTCTATTAGAGTGCTCATAATAGAAGTTATAATATGAATTAATAAAACATTTATATCAGGGATTATTTTTTAAAATACATTTTTGGAAGATTGCTTTTATTTCAAAATTTTTAAATTTCAATTGATTTAGTTTATTTACAAATGTCACATAAATTATGATTGTTAAGCTGAATCATTTCTTTTGCACTTAAATCAAATACTTTTTCAACAATCCGTACCGACTAAATATGGACTTTTGGAGGAAAGAAGGGATTGTGAAAGATGAAAATTTCCCCTCTCAATCACTCATCTCTATACATTTGCGATATATTTTCAAGCAAAGCGATATATTTTTAAATTATTTTCTTACTGAACAGGGATTTCATATTAGTATCATCATTATTATGAGTACTATGACAGCTAAAAGATTATGAGAAATCTTTTCGAGGAGAATTTCAAGGAAAGTGCTAAATGACTGGATTTGAATTGACATTTAATTTCTGAAATTGGCATGTAAAACGTGACTCATCGTTTATTTTACCTGCTATGTTTTTTCCTATGTATATATATTGTATGTATAAAATGAGCAGCTGGTCTATTTTTGAATAACAGGAAAAAGTCATTTCTCAGGAAAGAAAGCTCGATAGAACTGATGTGGAGGGACCCTCAATGTACAAGACAAGTGTGCTGTCTCCTCCCAGGAGTCCTCCCAAGGAAGTCGCGTCAACACTTCAGTCAAAGTCAAAGATCCTGCCTTCTACTGTTTCTGTTACAGTCAAAAACCCATCTCCAGATATCCCCAAGCTGACCGATAAATTAGCCAAATCAGCAATGCACCCGGAAAGTGTAGTAGCAAAGACAGATAGTAATAGATCTCTTGATGCACAAGTTATCAAAAAATCTTCTTCTACTCAGCAAGTTCCTATTGCAGCAGATGGGCCCTCAGCACATCAAGTTCCTACTACCACCAGTGACTTGTCCTGTTCACAAATGCCTGCCACCTCAAGGTCCTTGAGTGCTCCAATAGTTACTGGACCTAGGCCAACTGCTCCTGTTGTCTCCAATGTTCAGACATCACTGCATCTGACACGTTCAGTGAGTGCAACTGGTCGCTTAGGTCCTGACCCTTCACCAGCAACACACAGTTATCTTCCTCAATCCTATCGAAATGCAATGATGGGTTCTCCAGTAACTGGTAGTTTGGGTGGTTTTAGTCAACCTCATTCCCCTAGTTCAACAAACTCCTCGCACTCGTACTCTGAACCACCTGCTATGATTTCCAGGCCAGTGTTCCTGCCACAGGGGCCAAAAAGAACAGAACCAAGCTCAATTAGACCAAGCTTTTCATATGAAATGGTGAATCATGATTTGTTGCAGAATGGATCCCAGTGGATGGAGTGCTCACAAAGGGATGGTAGGAGTGCAACCCATGATGGTCCTTCTGTAATAGATAGCATTCGGAATTTTGACATGTACAAGCCGTCAAACAGTCAAACCCATGATATTTCAGCTCAGTCGCTAGCATGCACATCTGGACGTCCGTCCCAGAGTGTACTGGCAGATGAATTTCCTCATCTTGACATTATTAATGACCTGCTGGATGATGATCTTGGAATTGGGATGGCTTCTGGACTGGATCCAAGCTTTCAAAGTTTTAGCAATGGTCCTCACCATCATCTAGCTCGGCATTTCACCTTCCCAGGTGATGTTGGTTCAGCTGACCTAGGTCCATCTACTAGCTCTTGTAGGTTAGAGCGGACACTGAGCTATCATGATAATGGGTTCCTACATAGGTATCCAGGGGGAGGCCATTTTGATACTGGTAGAGATATGATAGCGCAGCCTAGTCCACAAAGTTATGTGAATGGGCAGATGGATGGAATAATTCCTAGCCAATGGCAGATGGTTGCTTCTGATGCATCTTACCTTGGAATGAGGAGTGCTGATAGTGATGTTGGCTACCCGTATCATGTCCCTGATTATTCAAACATGGCATGTGGTTTCAATGGTTATACAATGTTCCGGCCTTCAAATGGGCTCTGAAGGAGGGTGGGTCTTATGCAGCTTTGCCTAGGAATGAATATATGGGCTGGTGTCCCCATTGTGATAAAAGAATGCTTTGGTCTTAGATTTGGAGTGAAGTGTCACCCTAAAAAGGTAAGGCAACATTTTGTAAAGAGTGATTTTGCGTTTTATGTTCACAACTTTTAGGTTTTAAAAACGCTATCGCCCCCCATATTGGGGATTTGATGTTTGCGAAGTTCATGCTTGTCTTGCTTCTTTTGACCAAATAAGAGCAAATGAGTCTAACCTTTTATTTACTGATGATATATGATATATGATATATGCCCACTTGGTAGTAGGGGTGAGTGATCAAAGGTTGTGTGGTGTTGTTTATCCTTTCTCATGCTTTCTATGTTGATTCAACATGCTTCTGCTCTATATAGTCTATACTATTCTTGTTCATGAATTGGATATGCTTCTTGGCAAGAGGTCAATAATGCAAGCAAGCTGAATCTGTTTTGAGGTGAAAACTTTAGAAGCTGAAACAAGGCTTTATGCCAAATTTTACAAAGGGGTGTGAGTTATATTGAAGATGATGGTATGGTTTACTAATGCATGAGTAATGTGAAACTTGATAAGGAAAGTATCAGCCAATTTTGACTTATTTGACCACTGTTAACTGTTTGACTTGGTTAAACAATTTGATTAATTAGGTTTTTGTAGCAACTTATTGTTTCAAAATGCTAAAATTGAAAAAGCTGTTCAAAGTAGTTTTTTGAGAAAGTCAATTTGCAGGTGTTAACGATTAATTTACTGAACATTCTTCTACAATTGGCTAATGCTATTAACTAGTCAAACCCAATCAGCTATCAACTATCAGAGATAACAGTTATTTACCAAATACCCTCAATTTGTTAACTTGTACGTTTTTCTAATTCAGAGTGGAGATATGACAGCCTGTAAACGTAGCCTTAATGATTTGCAGTACACGTTGAATTCATGCTCCACACTACTCTTCCATTGTTTCAACGGTTGCAGAATCAACAAGTAAAGAAGAAGAAGATAGGAAATGGTGACCTCCCTTTGTGTATTATATTAAATTAAGTCCAAGAAATGGCAAAACAGTATGCCAGAACAAAAAGTGAAAGTCTAATTGCTGTTCAATGCTTACAGGGCACTCTCGCATTGCACATTATTCCCTCACTCAAATAAGTCTGTTGCTTTATGTAGTGTTTCGATTAGTAGATGGAAAATAAATTAAATAAATCTATGATAAAAGACAATAAGTTAAGGGTGTGTTTGGAAACTCGAAAATTATTTTTTGAGTTTTTGGTGTTTGGCTATGCAAAGAAAAGAGAGGTCAAAGGAAAATGACACATAATCAATGGAAAATGAGGCTTCATTTCTGGAAGATGACTTCCCCTTCTTTTTGGGGGAAGTCATTTTCCATTCTTTGATTCTCTCATCTTATGGCCAGAGAATTTCCGCGTCCATCAGACTTCACCAACACCTATTGCGCAGTGTTCTCTCCTCTTCGGATTTAGTTTTCGATCTGTCGCTGTACTTTTTCCGGCGAACAGAGAGAATCAACAATAGGAACTGCTTGGGTGACTCGCGCGCGATTTATCTCATCCAACGACTCTTTGACAGGGGATGTGGGGTTTGGGATTAGTCTAGGGTAGTGTATCTTACTCTTCCATGCATATACTATTCTATAATCAATTCTTTCATTAATTTTCTACAAACTTCTAGAAAAATGACTTTCAATCGCTGAAATAGTTTTGCTTTCTTTCAATAAGAGAATTACATCAATTTCAGCTGGGATTAAATTTGTAATTGCCGCCAAAAACAAGAAACTCCCTGTGGAATTAACTCTCACACACACACGTGTGTGTGTAATTTTCGTCTCCAATTAATATGAAATTGTAACAGTACCCTCTAATTAGTCATCAAGGTGGCATATCTAATCGTTCAACTATTACAATTTTAATTTTTATGTTTACAAATACTCTAAACCCCAACTAATGCTCTCTACTCCATCTAAAATCAACTAAATCATTCATGGAGATCATTTCCAATGTGTAATAGGAACTTGCTTAGTGTTGTTTAGGTTTTTGTTCAATAAAATCAATATGCAAATACAAATTTCCCCTTTCTACGTTAGTGTTGTTTAGGTTTTCATCCAAAATAACTTTATCCATATGTTAAGATCAGACTAAATACATTACCTTGGTAATTATTTAGGGAAGTGCTATTGCAAATTCATAATAATTATGGACTAAATTAAAACTACAAATTCCCATATATATTAATATCCTCAATAAATAATTGTGCTAAAGTATACTACCCTCAAGTTCGCAACTCATATACATTAACACTGATAAATACTTCATTTATCATGCTTACTATCCCCTAGTTAAATACTTAAATCAACTTCTCTTTTCTCACAAAATTTTATGTTTTCTTATAATTTTTAAATTCAATAATATTTTAAATATAATTTCTAAACACCAAACTATATATTATGAAAAATTGAATCGTAAATAACCTTTAAATCATGAGTATCTCAAATCATTTTAAGTAGAGCTGTCATTATATTTTTCTTAGTCCATAATGGGTGGCTGAAAAAAGAGGTATTTAAATATATGACGAACAAAAAAATAAAAAATAAAAACCAATATAATAATAGAGTTAAACCATTTTTATACTAATTAATAAAATTCTTAGTGGCAATTAATCATTTTATACTAATTAATAAAATTCTTAGTGGCATATGACTAGGAAAACAATAGTTATATGATACGCATATGGCAAATGTCGTTGCGTATTGCATTTGAAATTTCTTGTTTATATATGTATAATTGGCAAAATGGAAGATAATGTTGTCTTAATTAATTATGAGTTGAATATTAAGGTTGATCAATTTTGATGGCGTGTTATCATGTAATTATAATAAAACAAACATATACTATACTCTACTAGTCATTTAGACATCACATAAATTAAACAAGAAACATGTAGAATATAAGAAAATGATAATTTTTAAAAATTTTAAGAAACAAAATGTGAGGCAAAACGTGTAAATATAAGAGATATCAGAGTGTATTTGTAAATATTTTTTTACAAATATATATAAATATTAATTGTCAATTCATTTCATAATTAAAAATAGGAAAAATTGTGGTTTATGCCCCTCACAAATATGTCAATTATTAATGTCACACCTAAATTATTAGTGGTATGTGTTGTCCCTCATTTTTCAAAATGTTACATATATTGCCCATCCCCTGAATTATTAGTGGTGTAAATGTGGTTATCCGCCGTTTTTCCTGTTCGAAGACTATATTTTTTTCTCAACTTTTCTTACTTCGTTTGTTCTCCTTCTCCCGACAACAATGTTTCTCATTCTTCCTATTAAGGGAAGTGTAATATAATATATGTCACGTTTTGAAAATTGAGGGTCGAAAAAACATTTACACCACTAATAATTGAAATATGACATTAATAATTTGTATATTTGTGAGGGGCATAAATTACACTTTCTCTTAAAAATACTGCACTATACATGTATACACAGTATAAAATATAGGCACTATACATGTATACACAGTATAAAATATAGAGGTGTATAAGGGTTGAGGAAGAAATAACAAGTCAATATTCTATCCATGGGCCAAGGAAACTTGTGGTGGTACAAAAAAAACTCATTTTTCTTTTTACCCAAAAATTATTAATTATTATTATTTTTAAAAAAGTGTTATTTTTTCTTCTTGATTTTACCTCATAATGCATGATCATTTCTTGGAGTGATAATGAAAATCTTTTCATTCTTTAGTTATCGTGAATTGATCGATCCCACTCCAAGTTAAAAAAACAAATTTATTTATTAATTAATTATGACAAGAAATCAATCATATACTCAGTATTAATTGTCATGCAAAGATATGAATATTAGGAGTATCACTCTTCTTTTAATGGACCCTTGATCCAGTTCTTTAAAGAACGTGTATCAACATTTTTAATTACAAAAACAACCTTAAAATATTTCGGCAAATTATGTTGTGCAACCGTGTGCACCATGTATGGTGTACACAAAATTGGATTCATAATTTTTATATTATAGATTCATAATTTCTATTGAAAATTTAATGATAAGAATGTTGATGGTTGTTTAGATGATGGTGGTCAAAATGATAACTAAATAATTCGTTTTTATTTGGCATATATGATCCAAGAAATTGAGATGCTAGATTAATAGATATTCTTGTAAAAATAGATCCAAATTCAAATGTCGCACAAGACCTATATTATATTTTTATTGGAACGGCCCTGTAGAGTACAAATGTATATAAAATTATATTACAAAAATTTCATAGAGGTACAAGTAAAGCTAACAAGGTCAAATACCTGCCTTGCAAGCTTAAATCATAGTAATGTTTGAAATGATCAAAGATTTAAATTTTTAAGGGAAAATGGCACTTTTTCCCCTTATGTTATATACTTATAGCACTTTTTCCCCCTCAATTATTTAAGTGGCTCTTTTTCCCCCTGAAATGTTAAATGGACATATTTACCCTTAAAATAAATATTTCATTTATTTTTATTCTCCAATAAATTATTACTATAATTTGGTTCAAACCAGATACTATAGTAACCAAACCAAAATATTCCAATTACAATTTATAATCAAAACGCGATATTTAGAGTTTATTAAAATCACGAACTGGAATGGGTGGTTCATGTTCCAAACTGAAAAAATAAAATACATTTATTGTTGAATTTAAACTATTTTAAAATAAAAAATAAAAAATAAAATTTTAAAATAAAGACGGTTCAAAATCGCGAACGGGATCCGGAACCGTCGGTTCATGATCCAGTTTTTTTTTTTTTTATTCTTAAATTTAATAAATTGAAATCCAAATATTAGGTTCTAGATCTGAATCATAACTGAAAACTTTTAATTCGATTGCTATAGTGTCTGGTTCAGTTCGAACCGAACCGTGGTAATCGCTACATATACGCAATAATTTGTTGGAGAAGTAAAATAAATAAAATGTTTACTTTAAGGGTAGAAATGTCAATTTAATATATTAGGGGAGAAAACCACCACTTTTAAAATAATTGAGGGGGCTAATGTGCTTACATAAATAATTGAGGGGGAAAAAGTGCTATAAGTATATAACATAGGGGGAAAAAGTGCCATTTTCCCAATTTTTAATAATGGTTTTATATATGTCACACCGTTTTTCTGATACATGCACAATCCATCCTATAATGCTTTCTTCACGTAACAAAATTTGAAAAAAAAAAAAACAATATTTTAAAGAATGGAAAAATAATAAAGGTATAATAAGATAATTTTACAAAAATAATAAATTCCTTCTATCGACGACGGAGCGTTAAGTTGATGTTCTTCTAGCTTCCTTGGTGACCGGAGCTAGCGGGGGTTGCAGGGACGACATGGCCGGCTGGGCGGCCGGCGGCGAAGTTTATGGGCATGAGCCGCCGCCCCCGCCGGGAATCTGAGTGCACGGAGAAGGACCGGACGGCGGCGTGTCCCCCCTCGGCAGCGACTGCAACAGCAAAGCTTTTTGTATTAGCCATTTCTCCCTGCCCAAAGGCCTAATTGCTTCTGCAATTTGCAAAGTATTTGGAGACGACAACATGCAAACAATCAATACTAGTAAAATGAATCCTTTTGGAAGATTCATTTCGAATTTGTATTTTCTTTTTGTTTTTGTTTTTGTTTTTTCTTTTTTTGGTGTCACTTTGTGGGTAGAGAAAGTTGATGATGAGGATAGGTTAGGATGGAAATGGGTTGGAGAGTAGGGGGGACAATGGTTATATTTATAGAGAGAGAGAGGGGGAAAGGATGGAATTTTTTTATTTTTTATTTTTTTGAATCCTCATGAGAAGCACGAATAGCTCAGTTGTAACTTGTAAGTAAGGACACAAGATAGGAGCTTTGGTTGTCTTTCCACCTAATGGGTCTCCGAGTTACTGTTATGTTATTTATCCCTCTATTATCATGTCGGGTCAAAATGTGACGGGCAGAGAAATTTCGCTTTTTATGGACAAGTTAAGAGTAATATTATATGTTGTCATTCAGTCCACACTGTCAAAATCAAACATTTATCTGTTATAATTAGTAACAAAATCTTAACTTTATTTTCTTATATTTAATTATGAATTAGCATCACTTACGTTACCATAACAATCCGCTATTCAA